GAGAGAGAGAGAGAGAGAGAGAGAGAGAGAGAGAGAGAGAGAGAGAGAGAGAGAGAGAGAGAGAGACTCAAGGCCGTCGCCCTTTCACAAGAAAAAGAAAGGAAGAAAAGAAAGTGAGTTCTTCATCGGGGTATCATCATCGAGCTCAGGAGCCCCGAGTTCATCTGATTGCCTGAGGATTCGAGCTTAGGTCTGTTGTCCTTTGGGTCGTCCCTTAGAATTGGAACCATACAGAGAAGATAAAAAACATAGCCCCTGGGCCAGGATGACACGCACAAACCGAGAAGTAAGGACACTACCTCGACTCCTCCTCCTCCTCCTCCTCCTCCTCTTCTGTGCTCATCCGAGCTGCTGACCATTTGGTCAGAGGTGTTCTGCGGAGCAATCTAAAGGAGCAGTCCGAACTGGATCCCCCCCCATTTGTGGCCTCCACCTTTTCCCCATCCGACCAGCAAGGAGGTGCGGCAGCGTTTCAGAACGGTACGAAACAGGAAGAACCCTGGCCCAGAACCGAGCCTGAAAAAAAAAAAAAAAAAAAAAAAAAAAAAAAAAAACCGAGCCTGGAAGTGGAACTAGCACACGGAGTGGGACGAGGAGAAGGATTTATCGCAGGCCTTGGCACGCTGCAGGCAGATCTTGCTCTCGATCAATCATCCAATCATTTGGTATTGCTTTTTCTCGATTTCTGCGTGTCATCCTTGAGTGCGCAGGGGCCATGCTAATTACCCTTCTCTGTATCGTTCCAATTTTAACGGATGTCCCGAAGGACTCAATGACATTTGGTATTCCTGCTGAACCATCATGTGCATCTGAACGGCAAGATCCCATTTTTGCGACCGGATACGGACCGTGCTGCGAGTCAGAGTTGCAACCAAGGTCTCAGCTCGGGTTCTCCAGTGGGATTCGATTGAACACAGAGCTGAACCGTACAACACCCTGGGCTTAGAAATAAATAAATATATTGTTAATAATAAAAAATATCTCCATGGCTGGTCTTCTCCATAGTAAGGTGTTTATCATAAGGCTTAGCTCATAACATTGCGTCTCCACCTTCCTAAAAAAAAACACATTCAATTTGTTATTTTATGATCCGCCACATTTTTTCGTCTAATTTTATCAAAAATTTGATACCTCATCAATCTCCCTACAGCCTTTGACCAGCCAGTACTGGCAGTACTGCTGCATCCCTTCCAAAATTCTTCAAGCAAGTACTATACTCATTATACTCATTGTGCGATCACATCAAGCAGACCAACGCGGGGCTGCTGGATGGTTTCCGCATTCAATTTGGGCCATTGGGATTCCGAACGTTTGTTTTTTTTTTCACCAGGGAAAAAAGACAAAACAAAAAAAAATGAATCAATTGCGAAAACCTCATGATAGCCAAAAGTGATTTCCAACCTGGAGCATGGGCCCACTAGCAACCGGATAGGATAGAGACGAGTTTGTGGGACAGTTGAGCGACCCAAATCCTGCCGTGCAGTACTGGTGATCCCACGGTCAGTATTTTACATTTATTACCCGACCGAAAAAGTAAAGAGATCTTTGTTCCCCTCCTCCTCTCCTTAACACTCACTGGTCATCCTGCCCGTGCAAAGAAAGCTTCCCGCCAGAATCTTTTCAATCGCTTGGGGGTGTGGCCAAGCCCAAAAGAGGGTGGGGTCGGCCTCGGCCCACTGGATAGAAGATTTTCAGTAGTTTACTTGCTGTTGTGCAATAGTTAATATCCCATTGGGTGGGTGGAGCCGTCCTTCAATCACGGAGTATATATATGGAGGGTGTCAGGATCACTGCTGACAGAACTCGAGTATATTCCAGAAACAAAGGGACAGTTACTTGTTCACTGTTGTGGGGACCACCACCATCAGATCATCTGATCATCTGTGATCTGATGGCTGGCAAGCACTCTGCCGCGACTTCCGGTGGCAGGTCTCTGTTTCTCTTTTTTTTTTAGCCTTTCTCGTCTTTTCTCAGCCGAGAAATTCGTAATGAACCTGTCACCCCGCTGCCACTCAGTGTCACACTGGATAGGCCACACTCCTATCCGACTGCTAATGGGACCATGCTCCTGGTGAGTCGGAGATCGAAGACGACGAAAAAAAAGCGAAAAGCGAATCAATTCAATTGCGTTAACCTCACACTGACTGATTTCCAACCTGTCTATACTGCCGAGTCACACGAGAAAAACGAGCTTCCTTTCCTTTTTTCATGACCAGACACTTRAAAAAAAAAAAAAAAAAAAAAAAAAAAACCCTTCAACTTATAAATCATATGCTGATAATCCAATCAACAGCCGATATGATTGTCAAATGAGGCAATTGCCAGAACAGAACGAACACCCCTTTAACAAGAGAACTCCCACAAAGCAGATCATCCAGCTCCGACATCACATCCTAAGGCTTACGAATAGATTCCAAACAAAATCCTAAGCTTATTTAATTAGTACTTAGTACTTGTAAGATAAAAATGCACAGACTTTTTTTTTTCTTTTTTTTTCTTTCACAGACTTATTTAATGAGTACTTAGTAGTTCTAAGATTGAAAAAATGCACAGAATGCGGCAGCCGTCGCAATAACAATTGATTGATACAAGCGGACACTAACTCACAGTCTCACACGCTTTACGAGGCTCAGCGGGTTCCTTCGTCGGATGACATATAGGTCGGCGGTCGCCAGTGATTGATTGATATCTTTGTGCTTGGGGCCTTAGGCAGAGAACATGATACGCCCTTCCTGGTGAACGCTTAGACGACCAGGATGCTAACAACATCAGTCTCTTCGAGACATAATCGATTTTACTCTTATGATGTCTTATCCAATAACATTATAACTCACTAGGAAGGGGGGAAGAACGGCTAGAAGCCTCGAAGGCTAGAACCCCCCCTACCCCCGCTCTAACCCCGTTCTACCTCTTTTCCTCCCCGTCTAACCCACTTTCGAAAAACGCGCGAGTGGTGGGGGGCTGCGGATGATGAGGACTAAGCCCCCCCAACTCAGAAAACGACCGAAAAAAAGAAAGAAAAAAACACTCCTTTCTGCCCCTACACCCCTGAACATCCCTCCCGTACAACCATCAACACCGCTCCGCTTTACCACTCCCTAACACTCCCCAACACCCCGCCTCCTATCTATGGAAATCTCTCTCTCTCTCTCTCTCTCTCTCTCTCTCTCTCTCTCTCTCTCTCTCTCTCTCTCTACACACACACACACACACAGAGGCACACAAACAAGTGTGGTAGTGTATATTTCCATGTTCTAGCGGTAGATTGATTCGATTTTGCTCATCCTATCGATGGAAGTACCATGAGGCCAGCCGCGAGGT